AGCACCACATACCAACAAAGATGTTGTGTCCGCCGAGAACTAAAAAAAAATAAATATTAAAAATTCTCTCTCCTCTCTCTCTCTGTCTCTCTCTCTGTCTCTCTCTCTCTCTCTCTCTCCTCTCTCTTAAAAAAAAAAAGAGAATTCTACACTTAGAAATCATGATCTGTACCTGCAACACATACACACATACTTCCCATTGTCAATACACCTGAGTTCTGGAACCAACTCATGGCCAAGCCTGACTCCACCATACACCCTCCCCTTGTCCCCACCCTCTTTTCTCCCTCCCCAGGAGCACTTAACCGCTGAGCAACATCCCTTTTTATACTTTAGAGTCTCACTGAGTTGCTTAGTGCCTTGCAGTTGCTGAGGCTGGCTTTGAACTTACAATCCTCCTGCCTCAGCCTCCTGAGCCATTGGGATTATAGGTGTGTGACACTGTGCCCAGCTCCCACCCAATTGCTACACCTGAATTTCTCATGCCCTGAAAATTGTCACCAATTGGAAAAACCATTTTGTCCTCCAAGCCCCCCTCCTAAAATGCCTGCCTTTCCCCAGCTCTGGCCCATGCAGAGAAGTGTGGCGTGCACAAATGTCCACCAAGCTAGCCTGAGAGCACAGCAGACACACAGATAAGACTGGGAGGTTTACACTAATGTGAGTTCAGTGGGCTCCTGAGGGCCAGCCTGGTATTCCCAAATCTCATCACACACTGTGTTCAAGGGAGGATGTGTTCTAAATTACAAAACAGCTGTTATCTCAGGGTCCCTGAGCCTCTGCAGCCTCCCAGAATAAATAAAATCACAGTGCTATCACTAAAGCAGAGTTCCTGTTCTTGCTCCCAACTGCCTCTAAACCCACCCTCAATACTATATACAAGTCCCTCAAGGGGGCGTCACTCACTCATGGCCCTCTAGGGTCCTAGCTGGGTAAGAGATGGAAAAGAACAGTCTGACTTCCACCATGCTCCTGCTGTGTGAGCCAATTAAGAGACAAAGACTTGTTTGGACAAATGTCCCCCTCCCCCTAAAAAAAAACAAACAAACAAACAAAAAAAAACACTAGAGTACTGACCTTTATTCTGAAATCGTGAACTTTTTTGGAATACAAAAGTCCTTTATTTCCTGCAAAGATCGCAGTGTTTCGAAGTGTTTTGTTTAATGTGCTTACTTTGCAAAATAAAAAGTTGGCAATACTACTGTTCCCAAAATTTAAAACGAATAAAATAAAATAAAAAAGAAATTTACTTGGCGAAATTCACAAAGCTGGGAACCACCAGCTATCCTAAAAATATTCAGCCTACTCAGAGCCTTGATATACAGGAATTTTTGGAAGATACTCCATATGTCAGTAGAAGCCTCTCATATTTTTCAAGTTGTAAGGAAATTGTTTCAGGCTT